TGAAGGAGCCGTCTGCCGGCAAGGAGCAGGCGCGAGAATACCCCAGGGAGGAGCAGCACGCACTGAAGGAGCCTTCTGCCGGCAAGAAACCTGAGCGAGAATACCCCGGAGAGGAGCAGCACGCGCTGAGGGAGCCGTCTGCCGGCAAGGAGCAGGCGCAAGAATACCCCAGGGAGGAGCAGCACGCACTGAAGGGGCCCTCTGAAAATCTTCGAGGGGCCGCAGTAGGTCACCAAGGTGGGGAAGGAGAGGCTGTGCAAAGTGCATACCCTGTTGAGAAGGAAGCAGAATCAAATCTGCTTGGTGAATCATCCCAAGGGCAGCCGAGAGAGATGGAACAAAAGCCAGGGGGCGACTGCAATGTGGAGGGTCTTCCAGAGGCTGAACGTACTGCGGCAGAGACGGCGGGTAATCGGCCGCAGGAAGGTGCAGCTGGACAGAATGTAGCAGCCAAAACGAAGCCGCCGCGGGCTGTGAGGGCGATTGTCCCGGAAGAACGGACCAAAAACCCCAGTGGGACGTCGCCGTTCATGGGTGTCCCTCCTGTTTCCCCCATCCGACAGTCGCTCTCCTCACCGCAGTCGGAGCGGGGCCAGGGCGACACTGTTGCGAAGCGCCGCGGAGTGACGCCTCTTGGTGACGACAATATCACTCAATCGCAGCAGCTGCCTCTGCCGAAGGTCACCGCTGTGCGGCAGCCGTGGTTTCCCGCTGGTAGCTCCTTGACGGAGGACCACATCCCACTCGATAAGCGTGAAAGTTTCATGAACCGCGCGGACTCTATCAAGGACTTGGAGCGCCGCTCCCGGGAGTCCGGAAGAAGCAGCGGGCGTCATGCGAGTCGGCACGCCACACCGCATGAGTAGAAGCTAAAGTAGGAGGAATACAAATAAAAAGAAAAACAACAACAGCAGAGGACGGGAAAACAAAAAGAATAAAGGGATCTTGCGTCAGGTGTGGAGGGGGTATCTGTTTCAATGGTAGGAATGGCGCCAAAAACTACAAGGCAGCCAAAAAAAAAGGCGATGGGTGATGCGGCAACTGCGTGTTTCAGAAGAAGAATAAAAACAAAAAAAGACACACAGAGAAAAACCGGGGCACAGCAAGGTGGGCGTCCGATGCCTGCTCGCATGCCGGGATGAGGAAAGGAGTTGGGCAAAGTTGCGAAGCGCGACTGGCGGGGGGCTCGAGAGGAGTTGGAGATGAAAACATCCACCAAAATAATAATAAGAATAATAATAATTTTTCCAAGCAGAGTGTTCTCCTTCCAGAGCAAAAAAAAAAAGAAAAAAAACATAGAAAAAAAAGAGGCGAAGAGATTGTCGAAAGGACTGAGGCGGTCGAATTACACGTCTGGGGGAAAAAAACGCACACTTGCATGTACACATAATATCTCTTTTGCTTTCAATATTTTTGTTTGTTTCTTTTGCCTTTTTACGTGCCCAGTCAAGTTCCATCGCATTGGACGTGGTTTTGTTTTCTTTGGGGTGCGTATGCGTGACTGTTTCTGTCTTGCTGTTTTTTTTTTTATGGGGTGCTTCTGCGTCTCTGTCCCCCTTCATCGATCCGTCGTAGAAGATGGAACGAACGGTGGGGGACACGCCCAAATGGAGAGGAAAACAAAAAAGATGATATTAACAATAGGTGAAGCACTCCTCTGCGTATGCGATATCGGTTTTTTCTTCATTACGTAGGAATTCCTTTTTTTGTTTTGTTTTTATTGGTTCCGTTTTAGGCTTTTTTTTTGAAGTTGATTGTGCCAAAAAATGTACATACGCCACGTTTGTCGTACGCGCCCGGAGTGTGTTCGTCTCTGGTATGCGTCCATCTGTGCCTGTACGTGTGTTCCATTGTTGTTTTTGGCTGGCTTGTTTCTTTCTGGGTCTGTCTTTTCCGTTTCTTGTGCGCCGGTGGTGACTGCCGTGGACGAAGCGGGATCGGAAGGGAAGCGGGGATACAGCGAGGCAAAGCGAGGTGGCAGACGCACATCAACGGAAGGTGTCAAAAAGAAAATCATCGGAAATAAAACGAGAGAAAAAAGAAGAAAGAAAGAGAGAGAGAGAGAGAGAGAGAGAGAGAGATGTTTATTGACATGTACGAAGGAAACGGTAATGCACCTTTATTTCTGGATCTCCCCGAGGTCCAACCGTTGCAGGCTGATGTAGTGCGGAGCATTGAGGGAGCGACGTGTCCGCCATGGGCGGTGTGGTGTGGTGGGGCGGGCGGTAGCGTGGCCGGCGTTGCCCCGGCTGCAGGAGCAAGAGAAGTGTATGTGGGAGGAAAGTGCCACATCTTCTTTTACTTTCTTTTTACCTCATCTTGCGTGTATGTATTGGGCCCATTTGCTTCACCGGGCGTAGAAAGGAAGAGGACATGAGCAAACGCGCGCGATGGTGACGACGGCGACGAGTACGACGAACAGTAGCCTCAGTGCCCATGTCTACCGCGACAATCTGGTGTTGATTAGCGGGTTATCCACAGACAGACTCTGGTGGCTGAATTTGCCGTCCTTGCGTTGGCATGAAGAGGTTTGCTCAGGCGTGTTTCCTCCTCCAACGCGGTTTCATGCAACTGCGTTGCATGGGTCGCAGCTTTATCTATCGGGCGGAGAGCCGCACTGCGTTTCCACACCAGGCACCGCGGCAGCTGCGCTTGCGCACGACTTGCTCGAGGTGTTTGTTATTGACCTGCAGGAGCTGCACTGGGGGACGGTGGTGTGCGACGGGAAGCCTCGGAACCGCTCACATCACGCGATGGCTGCGGTGGAAAACGGCCTCATTGTTACGGGCGGGAAACCTTTGCTGGGCGACGCCACCGCATACGAAATCCGAGAAATGCTGACGAGTGGATTCTACGCGATCCACATTTTGGATACCGCGACAGGCGCTTGGCGCGTTTTCTCCGAGCCGCTGTTTCCACCACTGTGGGGGCACACTGTCCACGTGGTCAACAACGCCGCGATTGCCTTCTATGGGGGCTTCGAAGTGGCACTCGAGACGGATGAAACGGGGGAGGAGCTGCCCACCATTGCCGTCAACGAGCACGTTGGATTTCTCAATTGGAGGAGAATGGAATACTACCACGCCCCCACACGCGTTCCTGGCCGTGTGATGCACCAATCCCATTTACGTGGCAACATGCTGTCTGTGCTTGGTGGGCTTTCAGTGGACGAGGCACACCTCGATTTGGTTCCGAAACGAGATGCAATTGAAATTTCTTTGATTACATTTGAAGCTACCCCAATGACGTTTTGTCTGCAGAACTGGCCCCTGGAGCAGATGGCTTCTGTGGAGTACAACCAGCAACTCATTGTATTGAATACATTGCATGATATCTTCGTCCAGCGCTTGCTTGGCGAAGAACCATGGCTGCGTTACAGATGCGACGCAAGCGCCGTGAATACGGCGCCGTTCCCCACCACCGTTTTCACTAGAAGTAGGCGAGAAAAGGGGAGCCAGGAAGGGATGACTCATACGGTGTCTATTCCTTTAGGCGGACCGTTCTCAAAGCCATCCATGTCCCCTCTGTTGTGGACGCTGCTATCGCGTCTTAAATATCCCATGACTGATGTGTGCTAGAAAACCGTTGACGGAGGCAATGACCTCATAGGCGCATGTTCTTTCCTTCCTTCACCGTGTCTTTGGCTACTGATGAGCTGTATCTTACCCCTTTCTTCTTCTTATACGTTCTGCCTTTATTATATTTGTGTTCCTGTTTTATTCTCCTCTTCCTTTTCGCCAATTCTATGTGTTTTGGTGTTGGTCTTGGTGTTGTTGTTTTGTTTGCGTGTGTCGCCATTTGTGTTCTCCGTTTCCCCGCTTCGGAAGGCTCCCAGGCCAGGCTGACATGCCCCTACGGCCAGTGCAATGCTTTGTGCGTGTACGGCCCCTCACTGACAAGGAATTAACGGCGAAGGAGGCGGGTTGTCTCACGGCAGAACCTGAGCAACGGCGCATTCGCGTTGGGGAAACGTACACTCACCACTTCGACGGGGTCTTTCATGCCGCAACGACGCTGCAGCAAATTCGCGACGCCCTCGTGGCGGGGGTGGTGCGAGGGGCGTTGCGGGGCCACCAAGAGGCGCTTCTTTTGTACGGTCCAACGGGTGGCGGGAAGACGCACACCCTGAAGCAGCTGCTGCCCGTCGTTGTCCGCCTACTGCTACATGCTGCCGGCCTGGAGCGCCTTACGTACGAGACGGAAGTCTCAATGGAGTGTGTGGAGCTCTACATGGAGCGCGTCGCGGACCTTTTTGACCCGTCCAAGACCGATCTGCAGCTGCGAGAGTTTCCGGACACGGGTGTGTACGTACGGGGGGCGACAGAGGTGCCTATTCGATCACCGGAGGAGTTCACGCAAGCGTGGAGGAAAGCCGAGTTGTCTCGCTCCTGCACAGCCACCCGCCGCAACGCCACAAGTGCCCGTGGGCACTGTGTCGTGACGTTGAAGGTGAGGCGTCGCCGGAAAGTTCGGGAAGACTACGCGCTGCATGAAGAGGCGTTTGACGGCGACGGCGATTCCTCCTCTCTGGTGACAGATGGCAGGATATACGTTGCCGACCTCGCTGGATGCGAGCGATTCAAAGGCTCCGGTAGCGAGGGCATGCGTCAGGCCGAGGCCGTCACGGCGAACCAATCTCTCTCGTCCCTTTGCAGTGTCATGAATGCACTGGCGGACCCCAAGAAGACACACGTTCCCTTCCGGGACAGCAAACTAACCCGTCTGCTGCAAGAGCCATTGGGAAGAGATGGCAGCTGTTACGTTCTGTTGTGTTTGTCACCATCGGCAGTGTCGTTACCAGAAACACGTCGGGCACTGGCCTTTGGTGTACGGGCCATGTCCATTATGCAAAATACTGCGAGCCGCAAACAAGTCGATCCAGCCACACATCTCATTGAGGTTCAACACTGGCTAGCCAGCCGTGTGCATCTACTAGAGGCCCAAATACGACGCCTGACTTCATCCTCTCATGTAGAGTGCCCTGGATGTATAGAGAAGGCGATTAAGGAACATGACTTGAGGGAAGAGGTAAGGCGTCTGAAGGCGGACGCGTCACATAAAAAGGAGGAATACGATCTTTCACTTTTTCGTTTGCGGAGCGCCCTCGAGGATGCGCAAAATGACGCTGAGCATTATCGCAATAAGGCCTCAAAGACCTTGCTGATAGACGGAGACGCCTTCGAGCGAAAGATGCGTGCCCTCAATGAGTACTGGACAGGCTACGCTGCCTCGCTCCAGAAGGAGCTCGAGAACACGGAGCGGGAAAGGGACGACGCCTGTTCTGAAATACGCGCTCTCTCTGATGAGTTACGACTCCTGCAAACAGGAAGACGTAAAACTGACTTATCAAATGAAAACCGCGATGACATGGAACACATTCATAATATACAGCACGATTATATTAACGACGTTAGTCCACCTATAGATGACAAAGATAACATAGAACGCCAGCGCGAGGGCTTGCAGGGGCAGCTGACGGCTGCGGAGGCGGCCGCCGCCGAGCTGCACTCGGAGAACAAGCGCCTCTCGCACGTGTGCGCGTCACTGCGCGCCGAGCTGGACGCGGCGCAGCAGCGGGCCGTGGAACTGGACGGGCGCAATTTTTTGAGTATGAGGCGGTGCAATAGAGGTGGAAATGCTTTGTATTTTCGAAGTGATGGTGCCGAGGCCTCTATGTGTGGTGGGATGAATCATTTTTGCTGCTGGCGCAGTAAGCTTTCTTCGGCCATTGAAGAATTGAGTGGGATAACACGATCCGAGGGTGGCGATGTAAGCAATGGGTTGCCGTATGATGAAAAGTTGAGCGTAGATGTTTCGAATGTGCTGGCGCCAGAGGTAGTTTCAGTTGATAGCACAGTTGTCGCACTGAGGGATATTGAGGCTGTGTTGTAGGCGGAAATCATTGTGGTTCTGAGTGAGTCGTGGGGCGTTTTGTATTCCTTGGTGAAGGGTCGGGGGAAGGTGGAGGGTATCGCAGCTCTTTATTTTTGCTGCGATTGTTTGTCTGCGAGTTCTTTTGCGTGTGTGTGTGTGTGCTGGGTGGGTGAGTGGGGTTTGTTAACTCTTCTGTTGTTGCAATGAAGCTCCTGGCGGTGGGGGGTTTGCGTGTTCTGGTCGTGTTGTCTTCTTCCTTAGGGGTGTAGTTCTCTTCCTGGCTGTCTTATTCTACGCTGTTGTTGTTGTTGTTTTTTCGGTCGGTTAGTGAGCGATGTTTGGCTTCCGCGATGACGCTCTCACCAGGGAGTTCTTGGTGCACGCCTCCATTCGGGATGATGCCCCGCAGCGGCTGCGGCTGAAGGTGCAGGATCCCCTCTCCGCAGAGGACATGCTGCAGCAGATTGCCCGACAGTTGGTGGAGCCGACGACCTCCATATCTGCAGAGGCGCCGACGCGCATGCCCATTTCGCTGGACTCTCACCTGCTTGCCTTCAGTGCCGAGGAGAATTGCTTTGTCCCCGTGGATGGCAAACCGGCCGACATGCTCAAAGTTTTTGCCCACCTGCTCGTACATCCATTTAGTGCTGTGCCGTCGCTGGTGCCAAGTGCCGCCGTGTCTCGGAGGAGTTCGTCTAACAGCGTCACCCTCTGCGCCAGCGCAACAAACGGCGGCGCCGGTCTCAAGGGGGCCTCGCCGAAGGATGGATGCTTCCTCTCAAGGAACTCGACTTCCGCGGGGACGCGGCGCAGCGAACCCTTTGGACAAACCTTCCGGCTTTCGCCATATCGAACGGATGAGTTCTTTTCGCAAACGTTGGACCAGATGGACGGCTCGGATACGTACAGGAAACGGAAGAAGCTGCCCCTCACACTGGAATGTATGCTGAAAGTGGTGGAATTTCTTCTTAGTGAGTACAGCGCCCGAGCCGCGGAAGACGTGATTGAGCCGACGGAGAAGAGTGTATGGGGCCTTATTGAGGACATAGCTAGCCGCAATGGTGGTGTTTCCACCCGATCGCTGGATCCAGTGATGCTGGACGCGTTTATGGAGACCATTCTATGTGGCATAAGCACGGGTCGAATCCAGCGCACCTCTCGCCGCCAACTGCCCTCAAGGTCCGCTGAAAAAAAATATGTAGCGATGTGAAGTTTGGGCTTTGCGACCATCCCGATTTCGTTGAGAGCTTGCGAAAAAAAATATATATTTTTTAAGTAAGTTGCCTGTCACCCTACTTTTTAGTTCTATTTTCTCTCACGTGTACGTATTGATGTATAATTTTTGTCTTGTTTCCCATCTTCTTCGTTCGCTATGCATATACACATGCATATTTATATAGCAGATATGCAACAAAACGAGAGAAGTGTTCATAGCAGTGGCTCTTCTCGTCTTACCTCTGAGTTACTTTGGGGGGACAAGGCCCCATCACGGAAACTACGTGGGCCTTCTGCGTGGGTACTCTTCGCCAGTGTAGGCCCCAAAGGAGCCAGGACCGTGTTGGTTTGTTGTTCCATGACGTACGTCCCGTTTTTGTCGGGGCCTTGTCTCCTATGCGTCAAATTATGTAGGTATTGCGTATCTACAAACATATATGGATATATGCTTGTGTTGATGCATTTGAACATTTGGGCGCTTCATTTTTTGCAAACGAAGGAGGGTGCCAGAGTTTTTTTTCCTGTTTTTTTTTGTTTGTTTCTTCTTCTTTTCCTTTTCTGTTGCTTTCTATCCTGCCTTGCGAGCGGTGTGACAGGGGCGCTGCTCTCCAGCCTTCCTCCGGGTTCAAATGTCGGACGCCTTCATTTCGCCACAGGCACTGAAGCTCCTCTTGGATTCAAAGGTGGAGTCGCGGCAAAAAGGGGCTCGGGATGTGGCGGCAAAGACTGCTGCCGTTTTTGAAAAATACCCCTCCGCAGAGGCGTATGACATTGTCACGCGGGAGCTGCGCGAGGCGGAAGTGAGTCTTCTCAGCGTTGCCGCGGCGACGTATCGCAGAGGCGGCCTTGGCGCCGTGCGGGCCATTGTGGGGTCCCTGCCAGAGCGAACGCATCCGCGCGAGGTGGTGTCGCTGCTTTCATCCATGGTTTTTGAGAGCGTGACGGACGTTGACGCAGCAGTGCGACTGGCGGCCCTTGAGGCGGCGCATGCGCTTGTCCGCCAACTCCAGTCCCAGTTGCTGGAGGTGTGCTTCATGCAGGTGTTTTGGGGGCTGGCCTCTTGCGTCAACGACCATGACGGGCGCGTGGCGCTGCTGGCCGGGGAGGTGTCGTTGTCGCTGCGCGAGGTCATTACGGGCAACGAGTCGTTCAAGCTGCAAACCGACCTCTTCGTCGCGTTCGTCACGGAGGTGCTGGCACCGTACAGCAGCGCAACAAGCAAGGAGCAGGCGCTTGACCTACCTCTTCTGAATTGGTGCTTCGCGTGGATTAGTCACGTGCTTGACCTCCCCGGTGATGAACTGATCCTCCTTCTTTGGAGGTTTCTGAAGCCGCTGTTGATAATTTCCGGCAGGTGCGGGGGAGGGGAGGTGACGCGGCTTCTACAAAAGTGTCTTCGCGACACACGGGAGGCCTTTTCGCGGCACATGAAGGTCCAACTGGATAGCTTGCTCTCGATTGCTGCCGAATGCGTGGAGGAGGCGCAGGTGGCGCTGACGCGGAAAAACGCATTAGAATGGATGTTCGAGTTGCTGAACTTTGGCACAGACGAGCTGGTCCATCTTATTCACAGGGCCGTCGCGGCCTCCTTGTCGCAGTTGGGCTCCAAAGACCTTGAAACGCGACTGGCGGCCCAAAATGTCAACCACAGGCTCATGCAGATTGTTGCCTTGAGGCAGGTTGGGACGAGGGATGTCCCGTACGACGCGGTGTTGAGGGGTGTGACCTCACAACTCACTGGTCGAGGGAATGAGGAGTCGCGGGTGGCCGCTCTGGAGTGGATCGCGCTCGTGCTTCACAAGGATGCGGCTGTCGTGGAAAGTGGTTTTAGTGAGACATTTGAAACTGTTCTGGTTCTACTGTGTGACCAGTCGGCTCACGTGGTTCACAAGGCGATCGAGACTCTCTGCCTCATCTCCGGTGAGCACAAATTTGACCACTTTATTTCGCGGCTTGTGGACCTCTTTCACGCCAAGGCCGACGTGCTGCTGCCAAAGGCACCGACAATCATCAAGCAACTGCAGCTGCGATACCAGGGTGAGGACCTGAGCCAGTGTGAGAAGTTGTGCCTGAAACTTTCAGCGGTGCTTTCGGTGCATGAGGACAAGCGCTTTTTGGAGAAGGTTGTCATCACGCTGAGTACGATGGTGTTGACATCGAGAGAGTTTCTCCCTCTGCGTGAGATACTGAATCGTGGGGTGGGGGATGAGCGGGCTCGCACAACCCTTGTTGGGATGTATCCGTGTTGGCGGTACAACACTGTGGCGGCTCTTTCCCTTTGCCTGCTTTCGCGCGCGTACGAGCACGCCTTCCAGCTGATTCAGTTTATGGGCAGCCTGGAGATGTCTGCGGCAGCACTTCTGCAGCTGGAACGGCTTGTGCGCCTCATAGAGTCTCCCATATTTGCCTACATTCGGATCTCGTTGATGGAGCCCTCAAGGTGTTTGCCGCTTGTTCGGACCCTCTTCTCTATGCAGCTCATCCTACCGCAGGGATCCCCGCAGCAGTCCCTGCTCTATCGTCGACTGAAGGTAATTCCAAGCCTCGTCACACTTGAGCGCGAGTCGCAGGCACGTGAGGCGAGCAAAGAGGAAAGCCCCATTGACTGGAACCGACTGCTGCAGCTGAGCAAGGAGGCGCAGCGGTGCGTCTCTGACTTTGAGCGACGGCTTGCCCTCCAGCGGTTGGGGGATACGGGCTTGCCGTGACGCTCGTGGGCCCGGAGTCCGTCGTGCGCACGTCTCTCAACCTCCGTGTTCCCTTGCGCCGTCTCCCTGCGCGTTGCCAGGCGCCCTCGTTCTATTTTCTTCGCTGCCACACTATTTGTGTTTTCGTTTGGCTGCCACACGGCATACATTTTTCCCGCACAGGAAAAACACACTCACACACGTAACTGCTCGCTCTCTCTCTCTCTGTTTTCCTCTCGCTCCTTTTTTCCTTTTTTTGCCCTCCGAGGTCCTCTCAGGGTTGTACGCGTAGTCCAAAAAAAGAAAAAAGATCGACAAGAAATGTCCGCCACCGCTGCCGCGCAACAAGCCATTCCGAAGGCCTTCCCCAAGTTTCTCTACCGATATGTGGGGAACGAGAGGCTGTTTCGGTGCTTGCAGCCATACGAGAAGTATTCCGTGGTGGCCTACCTAAACTCCGCGTACAACGTTGCACCTATAATGAAGGCGTCGCTCAGTGTCGTTCCACTTTACGGCATCTTCGTTGGAAACCCCCCGGCGGAGAAGATTGACTTCAATTCCAGTGCCGCCCTCACTGTCACGGGTCTGCTGTGGTTTGTGTATGTCCTTCTTATTACCCCGCAGAACACCGGAACCCGCGCACTCTCCGCCTTAAACTTTGGAATGGCCTGCGTGAATGGGGTCAACTGCTACCGTTACTTGGCCTACAGGAAGTCCAAGGCACTGGAGATGTAGCGGCGTCTCTGCGCGTCACACACTTTTTCCCACGCAACAAAAAACGACGGTGATAAATGAGACTAAAATAAAATTAAAGCAGAGAGTTAATTTCTTTTTTCTTCATAATCTGCAAGCGCAACTTGTTTTTATGTTTAAATAACGCAAAAAAAAAAAAACTATGCTTCTAGGAACTATGGTTTTTTTTCTCTCCCTACTTCTTGGCTTTAAGGAGGTATAGCGCGCGCGTAGTAAGGACGGTGTCAGGCAACGGAAGTTGCACGTTATCCCCGGTCGCTTGACGGGATTGTACGCTTATAAACATTTCTGCGTTATCTCCATCTCTCCTTTTTTTTTTCATTTTCTCTTCATTAGGCAAGGAGACACCATCACAACTTGGGAGTGCCTCATAGCATTTTTTTTTATCCTTTTATTCTTCGCGTGTGCGCCTTTCTGTGTGTGGGTGTGTGTTGTAGGCCTGAGGGGGCGGCAATGAGGCGGTGCGCACCGTGCTTGTCTTCTTTTCAACGCCTCCCTTTCGGGCGTCGTTCGACCGCTGGGGGCATCAACCTCAATCGGGGCCTCTTGAGTGATAAGGAGCGGGGAGACCCGTTCACGGACCCAACGGTGTATCGCAGCAGGAAGAGCATTGCGGCCATGGACAAGGTCTCACGCAAGACGGAGCGCCTTCGCAGGGAAGAGAAGCAGAGGGAGGAAATGAATGCATTGGGCGTTGACTCACGGATGGAGAGAGAATTGGCTAGCGGTGCCGCGCAGCCGCTGCAGCAGGAGGCCATCGCTGCCGCCCGTGTGATGGATGAAGAGGGAATAACTTCGTCTGCGCCGGGCGGCGAATACACGACGGCGCTGCGACGCTTGATGGAGAGGGAAGTAGACCGCCGGGATCACATGATGGATAAGTTCGGTCAGCCACCGACGGCCAAAGAATATCATCGCTTGTTCACACAGCTGCGACGCGCAGACGATGAGGCGGAGGCCATTGAACGACACCAAATGCGTCTAGTAGAGGAGTACGGGATATATCCCTCCATGCGTCTGGATGCCTATATGCTGGATGATGACACGCATTTTCCGGACTGGGTGAATGCGTTGCCGTACAGTATACGAGATCGCGTGAAGTACGGGTCATTGGGGCTCACCGAGGAGGATGAGGCTCTTCGTGTGACACTGGGTCGCATGCCGTTGGATAGGCGGCGACAAGAGTGGGAGAGGCAAAGGAAGGCGAGGGAGTACAAGGCGGCAAAGGAGGAGACGTTAACATTGGCAGAATTGCGAGATGCTCGACAAGGCAAGCGACGGTTTCACTGGCTGCAACGAAAGCGTCAAAAGCGGGCGTCAATGCTGCGACGACTCGCATTGCGCAAACCAGATGCATATGAGTTGTGGCCTTCAAGTGTGGTGGACTATAGTCAGCGCATTGCTTTTATTGCGCAGCACGTGGAAAATGGCGTGGACACAAAGGGGCAGTGGCCCTTGGACCCGGAGGAGCTGGCACGTGCTCGGGTGCGGCGCAGCCAGGAGGAGGCCGAGCGCACGTTCCTGTTGAACGCGGAGGAAAAGAGGGCGCTCAAGCGGACAACGAAGGGCGGCAGCAGCAGCAACAACGGCATTATGCAAATGCTTCGTGCGTTGGACTCACCAGAGAAACCTTTTAAGCGTGTTTCTCGTAAGGTCTACGCCAACCGTGTGAACGCCATTGTGCATGGCGATCAGGATGAGTATGGACGCAAGTATCGTAAAATGGAAAGCCGCGCCAAGCGTCGGATGCGGCCGTACGAGTCACTGGGGGAGATTGCACTCTCAAAGGAGGTGCGGAAGGAGCCACGTGTTTACTCGAACGGTCTGAACCACACCGATGACGAACACTGGCCGAAGCACACCAAATCTTGGGCGGATGGCATGCCTTCCACACGCTACGCCGCTTGAGGACCTAGTTTTTTTTTTCCTGCGTGAGGTATAATATACAAGGCTACTTTTTTTTGTTGGCGTGGGCCCGTCGGAAGTAGTCCCCCCGAAAGAGGGTTCTTCACTGCCACCGGATTCTGTTTTCTTCCTTTTATTTTTCTTGTCAAACATTTCTCCCCGCAATAGAGGCAAAAAAAGGGACATATATATATATATATGTATAGGGCCGGACACGTAACTGATTGGTAGTGTTTGTGTGTGTATTGGGAGGTTTGAGGCCGTGCAATGTCGGCGTCGAAGGTACTTCTTGCTGATGGGACGGAAAGCGTTTTGAGCCGAGGCGAGGCGTACTGTAGTTTGGCGCGCATCAGCAACACTGTTTGGGCTCTGCGTTCATGCGGAGAGTACGTCGACGCGCTTGATTTCCATGACGGGGAAGTGCTGGACTCGGTGCGCCTGCCCGAGCGATGCGGAACGATTCGGACTGCCGCGAATAAATTATGGCTTCTCACACACACTGGCCACATCATCGTTTGTGACGCGAGTGGTGTGTTGATCGGCGTGCTTAATGCGGGCGTGGGACAAATCGAAAAGTTGCACTCCTTCGCGAGCTGCCCTTTGTTTTTTGCGACAAGCCAAAAAGGTGCCTTCCAGACCTGGAATTTGGAACAACTCGCGGTGCAACGTGTGTTCCCGTGTGAGGGCGCCGACATTCTTGTGGTCCTCCCCGTTAACTCCGAGGGGTTATTACTGACGCTACAGGAGGACCGCGTGGCACTCTGGGGCGAGGAAGTCTCTTGTCCTGTGTGTGTGCACCCCGTAGAGTCTGCTGCCGCGGCTGTGCTTGTGAGCGCAGAAAGTGAGGCGGCACATGCCGACACCTGCTGGGTAGGGGGAAAGCAATGGATAACTGTATTTCGTATGGTGAAGAACCCTACGGGTAGGCTGGCTCTCAAAAAGGAGCGACTAATTCCATGCGCAAGGGTGCAACAGCTCGTGTCAATTTCCTTAACGCGCGTCGTGTCGTTTGACGCAGAGTTTTTAGTAACAGTCTGGGATTCCTGCAGCTGCGCACCTGTAAGGCTTTTCAAGGTTGACTCCGCGATGGGCATCGGGCGTGATGCTGTTGTGCCTGGCCTTTTTTTTACCGGCGTTGCTCGTGTGGCGAACCTTTGGATCCTGTGTGGGAACTTGCGCCTTTCATGGGCAGATCAGGGGGTGGGCGATGAGGAAATACAGCCAGTTGCCTCGGGGATGGCGACATCTACGGTGCTTCGGGGCGAGAACGCACACCTACGCAAGAAGAATGCCTGTCTGTTCGAAATGATGGACACGTATCGTCAAAAGCTAGTGGAGATTGCCTCTAGCCCCACCAGTGACAGGGCGAGCATGGCCGCAACGATGCTTGCGCTGGACAGGTGCTTTGCTGAGCAAGTGTCGGCGCTCCGGGCGGAGGACGATACACCGCATCGTATGAGTGGGCAACTAGGTCTGAGGGACCAGGTAGAGTACTGGCAGGAAAAGTATAAGGTGGAGAAGGAGCGCAACGGGCTACTGTTGTGTGATCTTCGTTTGGCCGTGGATCGCCTGAAAGAAGGTGGTTCTGACTCGACGCTTAACGCGCAGCTGGCCCACCTTTTGGCCCTAAATACCGCTTCTCAGGCGCGGGAGCGTGAGCTTCGTAGCCGCTTGCTTGAGTTGGAGGCACGGCTGCACCAGCTAGACAAGGTGGGGGGCGGCGGTGTCTGTCGCCCGCACGATTCGCAGGAAGACAGTCGCCGTCAACACACCCGCGTCCATGAACTCCAGCAGGAGCTCCAATCTGCGCTGGAGGCCAGCGAGGAGGCTGCGACGGCGCAGCGAGAGATCTTAAACCTAACCGGTGTGCTGGAGGTATTGGAGAAGTCCCTGCAGGAGGAACGTGGCAAGGTTGTCACCCTCACTAGGCATATATCTATGCTGGAGCGAAAGGACGAAAAACTGTTTCATACGCTAACTTACCTCCAAGAGGAGCTCAATAAGGCACATCGGGAAAAGGACGAATGCATCGAAGTATTGAAGAGAGATCGACTTGAAGCCGACGAGAATGAAAGAAGAGCATCTTTGGCGCTTGCAGAAACTCGAGAGCAGTTGCATTTGTTGTGCCAAGAGATGGCGAAGGTGGAAAACGACAGGCACCTGGCGTCAGCGGTTTCTCTGCGGGACACCGAGATTGAGGGGCTTAAGAGGCAATTGGAGTGCGTAAAAGGGATGCTTTCAATGCGGCACGAGGAGCGCCGTGCAGTTAGCACCGCATATGATTCAATGGTGGACATTATACAGTCAATGGGGCAAGAATCTCCGTTAACGCTACTTGTGAAGAGGCTAGAGGATATTGATACACGCTTGGGCCATCTGAGCTCTTCGGCACTAGCGTGCATGGAGAGGGATGATCAGCTCGCTGTAAGAGACGATGAAATCCGTGTTTTGAGGAATCGTGTGCAGTCGTTGGAAGACAGTGCACTGCGTGTTTCGTCGCTGTTTAAGCACATTCCTTACAGCGTGGAAGGTGTCGAATCGCTGCTGCTGGAGCTAAACGAGTACCGGCAACGCTACGGTAGGAGTGAAGAAATTGAGGAGCTGGTGGCCTTGCGCTTGTTGGAGTTGGCGGCGGCACGCGACGGCGACAACTCCGCGGAGGAATCGTAGCACAACAACCACTGGAACCAGCCGATGTGGAATGTACTGCTGTGTTTTTTTTTGCTCCTTTTTGTGGTTATTTTTTTTATTGACTTATTTCTTTTTGTGGCTGCTCCCGTATCGTGTCTTTTGGTGTTGGTCTGCCCTTTACATTCGTGTATATAAATATATATATATAAATATATATATATATACTGCGGTCACGACGACGGCTTCCCTGTACGACATCGTGCGTGCACTCGCTGAGGGGCCACCCTTCGGCCTGATCAGGACGTTGCTGCTGCTGTCTGCATAGGCCCTGCTTCTCCTCTTTCCCTTCGTTCCTTTTTGCTGCGCCGCCGCGGCGGCCGTCTGCGGTGGCCCGTGTCTACAAATTAGTTGCGTCTCGCAGGAGATGGTTTTTGGTAAGGGATCTGTTGGCCGAAAGTTGCTGGGGGTGACGGGCCTGGTTGGCTCGCTGGCGCTCGGCGGTGGCTACTTCACGTATCAGCGAAGACTGAAGGAAAACCGCAGCTGCACGGCTGAGGAGTTCAATGCGGCACAAAACCAGGAGGAACTGTCGTGGGCTCTCGCACACCTGAAGAATCCGAAGGAGCACCCACAGCTTGTGCTCTATCGCTATTCTACCTGCCCCTTTTGTGGGATGGCAAAGGCCTTCCTGGACTACGCCAAAATTCCCTACAAGTGCGTTGAAGTGGAGCCGATGTTGAAGCGGGAGATTTCCGCCTTTGCGTACAAAAAGGTTCCACAGTTGCAGTTCAACGTGCACGGACACAATGGCCCCATCCTGGCGGACTCTGAAATTATCGTCAACACCCTTGCACAACACGTGGGTATGGGGAAGCAGCTGAAGGATCCGGAAATCACGGAGTGGCGGGCGTGGGCGCGTGGGCCGATGGTGCGTCTTTTGACCGTTGACTTTAACTCGTCTCTTTACAGAGCATGGAGTGGTTACTCGTACATCAATGACATTGACACCATCCCGTATGCGAACAAGCTGTTCTTAAAGGTGGTGGGTGCACCGGTGATGTACCTTGTGGCACAGTACGTCACCAAGCCCCGTCTCCTTAAAAGTGGACATCTGCGCGAGGGGGAAGATGCAAAGGAACGACTCCATGGTGAAATAAAAACATTTGTTGAGAAGGCTCTGCTAGATGGGAAGAAAAGGTTTCACGGCGGTTCCAAACCAGATCTTGTGGATCTAGACACATATGGCGTTCTCCAGTCCGTTAGGGGGCACCGTGTGTACGAGGAAATTGTCCAGTCGACAGCCATTAAACCATGGTTGGATGGGATGGATGAGGAGCTTGGCCGCGTGAGCCGTGCTGCGTAGGAAACTTGCAGACTCTTCTGCAACAGCAACGACGAGTATGAGGGGAGGTCAGTGGAGTTGTATGTGGAGTAGCAGTAAGCGTGGCTAATCCGCGTTTCAAATTGTTACTTACACCAATACAAATAAATACATATATATGTATATATAATCTCTGTACGCACCTCTATGGGTCTACGGCTATATTTGAAATACTACGATTGTTTTTATTGTCCACGTGGATGCTGCTTTTAAGGCATTTGTACATGTCTTGTTTGCATCAGCCCTCCACTATTTTTGTCGCCTTTTTTGCTGCCTTTGCCTTTCCGTTTCACTGAATGCAGTTTTTCGACTAAAAGTTCTGTCCTCATGCAGGCCGGCAGGTGCCCTCGCAAACGCTGCGCCGTAGGCGTAAAAAATGGCCTGCAGATTGTATTTGTGACACTTCCAAAACCCCCGGATCCACCGCCTCCAGTTGAAATTGAGCCGCTAATGTTTTTTGAAAACGTGCCCCCACCACAGGCACCGCCCGTTAGTCAAAGCGCGGCACGCGCAGCAAACAAGTGGGAGAGAGGCTGGGTCGTAGTGCCGCTTGTGGTTAATGGCAACGGGGAGATGGAGCGCTGGCAAAGTGTTGGCAAGGGCGAATTTTCTAGTCTCAAGGAGGCGTACGAGGCGTGCGGTCCTTTTGAATTGCTCGCAGAGTACCTGGCCGTCTTCGGCTGTACACTTCTCGACAGGATCTATCTCTTGGTTGCAACGAGGGTGGAGGTGATTGCCTCCCTGCCGTTTGGCGGCGCCATTCAACGCGTTCTCTCGACGGAATGGGTGCCGCTGCGTATTCCAGATGCAGTGCCGCTTTGTCTCTTGCCGACGGACAGGAGCAGGCTGGAAGAGTTCCAGCACTACTCGTATGAGCGCGGATACTATTACTCTGACGACGCCGACCTCAGTTATCCATTTCCTTTTTTGCCACCTGCAGTTGCGGCGGCCCCCACGCTTCACTGCGACTGGTCGGAGCACCTGCGACAGCCGTTCCGTCCACACGGCCTCTCTGAGGGCTGCTCAGTGCTGCTTCGCGGCTTCGCGGAGGAAGCCGTCGTGAAGCTGAAAAACGGCTCTCCTCTTCACATGCTGCTGCTAGGTCGTCAGAACAACCTGAACCCCGGCCCAAGGTACCTCGGACGTGGACTGAACGGGAATAACGCCGCGGGAAACGACCACTTTTACGAATACGTCTTGTGGAGGTCAAATGAGGACGGCTCCGTCTTCTTTGCACGTCATACGATACTCCGAGGGACGATCCCCGTGCACTGGTCCACACAATTCCATAGGGCCATGGGCGAGCCTTCAATGGTATTTAGCCCGAATCGAGAGGAAGTCCTACGAGGCTGCGATGTATACTTTGAGTTTGTGTTTCGTCAGTTAGCATCCCTTATAAGGTACGACACGGGAAACGCCCTTCTAAATGCCGCCCCCAAACTGCGTTGCGTGAGTTTACTTCGGCAGAACCCTCAACATGGCGAAGGTGTTTTGGCCAGGCACTTTTTGGATGCGGTGAGGAAATCGGATGCCGTGGTGAGTCGCCTTTTCCACGACGCCCAACTGGACCTTGTGCACCTTGATTGGCTGAATCTTGTAAAAGACTACGGCGTGGATGTCGTCACAAGGACGTTTTGGGAATCGATCTTGGAGTTTTTGGCTCCGCAGGGCAACGAGGCACTCGCCACGGTGGGTGTATTACACTGTGACGGCAGCGTCACGCGGAGAAGTTGCCAACGACGCTTCTTGCGGGTTAATTGCGCAGATTCTTTGGATAGAACAAACCTTGGGTGCTTCTTCACGTGCTTTCAGGCATCCATCTCCATGCTGCGTTCGCTGGAAATAGGGTTGGACCAGTTTGTGGATCAAACTCCCTTGCCCCCTCTACAAGGACAAGACGACGCCAGTCAGTGCAGACTCTCTTCCTTTTCCTTGGGAGGGAACAAGATGACAATAACTCAACCGTTTGTATGCACGTGGTATGAGGCCCGCAATCCGTCACTGTGCCCTGTGGCGGTTGTTCGGGCCCTCTCTGAACTCTACGTGCACAATGGAGATGTTGTCGCGCAGCTGTATACGAGCTCGGCGGCAATGCATAGTAACCTTTTACGAAGTATTTGCGGTTTAAGGTCTACGGCGCACAACGCGGTGATAGCAACCCAGCGACGGTTTGAAAATGTGTTTGAGGATCGAAGCAAATTCAGAAGCCTTGAACTTTTACTGGGGAGAAACAAGGATATTCACTTCCCCTCAATGAGTCAGTCCTTTCTCACGCGTCCTGTACCACTCCAGTATTGGACGTGTGCGCTGATAGCGATGGGCGTTCCTCTCTTTGTTTCCTCGCTCGATTTGGCTGAGGCGGTACGACAGGCAGTGGAGGAAATTTTCTCCCTGAAACTCCCAGCTTGTGGCCTCGCAAGTAACTCGAGTTTTGCGCAGGGTTTTTGCATATCCCTGGCCGAGGATGAGGTCGCATCCCACAAAGAATTTCTAACGGCAGTGGGGCAAGTGACATTTGAGCAGCCGCCGCCCATGGCAGAGGACGACGGCGCCGTTCTCCACGACAATGAGCGAATTGCCGTGATTGAATTTGACCACGACCGCTTTGACGCGTCCCATGTTCAACGGTTTCTCCAGGCGAGAGAGACCCTGCGGGTGCTAAACTGCAGTGTGACACTTGTCCCATACACCTACCCCATCCAGGGAACTGCCGAGAATTCCGCAGGTCTCGTTAAGAAGGCGGCTAACTCCTTGCGAAGCGGCCTCAAGAACTTTGTGAGAGGGCTCAATTCATGAGACTCAGCTAAGCACCACATGTGTTATATACGTCTCTCCCCACACGTATACATTATACTTCATTGTTGTTACTGCCATCGCAGGCGAAAATTTTTTTTTGTGCCTAACTTCCTCTTGCTCATGCGAACAAACAAACAGATACACACACACGCTTTTTTTTTTCCATGACCGCTCCCAGTATATTGCAGTTGACAGCACGGCGTCCAGCTTTATTTCATATCTCTACCTTTTCCTTTTTGGGGCTCTGGAATTTCATTACACAACCTTCGCGAGACTTTCTACATGGTCTAACTGTTTCCAAGAAGCACCGGGTGAAAGAAGGAAGTTGCCGCTGCCTCCTAAAGTAACTGACAGCTGCTTCAAGGGGGAAGTGCGACAGGAGTCTCTGATGCCTACTTTTCCTCATGATTATATTTTTATCCCGCTGACTGAGCAGAAGAAGTTTGGGAAAGCTCGCAGCGCGGATGATGGGAAGTGGACCGTTTTGTGGTTGATATTTCGTTTTGGCATTCGCAAAACGTTTCACAATCAAGAAATGCGCGGTGATGCATCCCACATTGCCCTCACTTCTTTCACTGGCGCCTTTGAAGTTGTCACGGAGGAATCGTCTTGGTAGGTGCGTATGTGGGCGTCGCTTCTCCTGATAATTCTGGCTGCACAGCGGAATTCCTAGTGATCCTTTCCTGCTGGCGAATTGCTTAACACGGCGCGAAAGTTCTTCTGGGGAATGCATTGTGGTTGGCGGCAGATTGCCTTGCTTTTTTATCGTGGCCTTCCCGCGACTCCTCCGGCGGCCTCTGTTGGCTGAAGGCGCCCGCTGCCGCATCAGCGGAGCTGCGTGCTTGGGCTTCATCCCCGCATCGAGGAAAGACGCCGCTCACACTTTCATTCGCGCGATAAACGGCGAGTTGATTTGTTGCCAACAAATTATCGTCAGTATGTGTTGTTCTTTTCGAATGCCATCAACTGCTGCTGCCTCTGCAGAAGAGAAGAAACCAGTTTCAGGCCGCCCTCCCTTTTGCCCCCGATTCATTGGTGTGGTGGTGGGAGGGTATGCCTTGTGCAGTGTGCTTGTCGCCTCCCCCACCGAGGGAGAGGGCTCAGTAGCACCTACTCCTGACTGATGACTTCACCCCTCCTTTTCCTTTTATACGCGGTTGAGTGCTCTGAGGAAGCTACACGCATCCCGAGTCCATGTGAGGTGCCTTGTATTGCAATGCATTATCTCCGTCGGATACTCTTCCCTGACGCGTACACTTCTATGTGTGTGTTTGTGTGTGTAACTATTCATCCAAAACGCCGGGGGCATGATACATCATCAGGTGAACTTTATTGTCTAGGCGATTCTATGCTTGCGTGCCCTGCTGGGTCGAGG